GTCCGTTTCTCTCTTTCTCTCTGAAAAGATAATAGAACAAATGGATGATGGAAATTAATAAAGTTTGATTCGAACAACACCATTTCAATTTTAGTTTTGAAGTATAACCAAGGTGATGTATTGATCGTTTTTATTAATATCGTATATTTATTTTTATTATTATCGTTTTGATAATGGAAATGCCTCCATGGGAAACGTTTGCGCCATTACATCAATGATACGATGAAAATCAGAGGCGGCCATTTTAATTTGTTATATTTGGTTTGTTCTCGAGCTCCTTGCGTCTTAATGCTTCACTCATTGCCCTTCTTTTCTGTTTTAGTTAATCTTGAGTAGCGTATCGATATTGGTCGGCTATCACCAGAACCGATGACAACTCGTGTTAAATTGATGTGCCTTTTTCAGGACTTAAAACCCTGAAAGCGTCCAAAAGTATGAGAAGATTTTTAATGTTAACAAAAATAATAATTGTAGAAATGAGAATCACGTGCAGGGTTTGTTCCAAGGTTAGGAATAATCAAAGTACTTGAAAATCTTGTATCTAGAGAGGAATCCAAATTAATGGAAATTCAGTGAAATTGTGATTAATTGATGTGCAATTTTTCAGGAGCTACACTGGAAAAAGAAGAAGAAGAAGAAGAAAAAAAAAAGAAAAAAAAGAAAAAAAAAAAAAAAAAAAAAATTTGGATCTAGAGTACAGACTTTTGAAAACATTGACAAGAAAAAATACCCTTGACTCAATCGGATTTTTGCTTGAATCAAAACGAAATCCGCTCAAATTAAGATGCTTGGTTCTTGATTTTTAAGCTAGATTCTGATTGAATCAAGAGTACTTTTTCTTGTCGATATTTTTAAGAGTCTGGACTCTAGATCCAATGTGTTTTTTTGCAGTGTAAGCATTCAAAATTATGAGGAGGTATTATAAAGCAACAATACATGAAGAAATGAAAATCAAGTGAAAGGTTTGTTCCTAGGTCAGGAAGAACCAAGAGGATTGAAAAATGTCGGATCTCGGAAATTACAAAAAATTCAACTTTTTACAGAATTAACATTTCTTCTCGAAAGAAATTCGGCAACTTTCGAGTGAGGATAAGATGTTTCTCCGTAGGAAGACCTCGCAGTACACACCTCCCGTATCACGAGATCTGTTGAATGCAGGTTCGACGGCGCTGCTCTCCGCGCCGTAATAATCGCTGTAATCTATTTTGCATAGGAGAATAATCCCGGAGCAGATTGAGTCGGGAGGGAAGAGTCGGTGCATTCGGAGCCGGAATTTATGGCGCGCTCAAGTTTTAAAGATTCCGAAACGGTTTCATACATATGTATTAAAGCACGCAAGAAACACATGATTTATTCACCTGCTCCGCTCGCCCTGTCTTCGGCTTCGCGAATCCGATTCGCGCGCTCACGTGCTCCGCGCCCCGAGGAAGAGTTCCGTTTTTCGGAGACTCCTTCCAAAACGGAACCAGACGCCCAGAAAAGCGAGACGCGGGCGAGGCTGTAGGCGGAAGCCCGGGCCGAACTTTTCGCAAGGATTTTTTTCCGAGATCGTATTTTTTGGGCAATTTTTCCCAGATATGTGACTTTGACAAATAAGCTAAACTTAGAAATCCTTTCGTAAGAAGGCGACATCAGAATCAAACCTGGATATATTCTCTTTAATCCTTTATTTTTGGTGATCTCCCAGCTAAATAATACTACTGCACTGGAAAAAAAAACACATTGGTTCTGGAGTCCAAATTCTTGAAAACATTGACAAGAAAAAGGACTTTTGATTCAATCAGATATAAGCTTAAATCAAAAGAAAATCCGCTCAAATTAAGAGACTTGGTTCTTGATATAAGCTAAATTTGATTGAATCAAGAGTATTTTTTCTTGTCGATGTTTTTAAGAGTCTGGACTCTAGATCCAATGTGTTTTTTTTTTCCAGTGTGTGGCTGCTGGCTGGTGCAGGATTCTGAGTACGTTGAATGAAGGATCGTTGAATCTTTATTTGAATGAAGCATTTAGCATTAAAAAGTTGACGTATCCCAGACGTAAGCAAAACTTGGAAGTGGTTTCGCTTCGAAGTTAAGAAAACGGTGCGGTGCGGTGGCTGCTTGCGCCTCTGTTGGCGTAGTCTCTTTTATTCTATAATTTGAATAATACGCGAACGACTGTTTTGATATATGAGACATTTGGCAACGACAACTCACGAAACTGAACAAACTCAATTTGCCAATCAAAGTTGACTGTCGAAATCTTTCAAAAATCATGTATGACTTTTTAAACCATAATTCAAGGTACTAAATGTAGATAACACTCGAAATGCAGAGTTTAAGTAGGTCCCGAGGATTCCGTCGAGTAAGACCGTATTTCCCGGTATCTCTCTGTGTACTGAATTCTTCTCCCCGGCAACGTGCTTAACCAGAATTTTGCGGTGAATAGTTCGTTCTTTGCGGCGAAATTTTTGCACCGGAAGACTAAGAGTTCTCGAGTGTCGAGTGCAGCCGGGTAGTAATAGTAGGGGCAGTAAGAAGATAGAAATCATGATCAAAATATTGTCTCAATACCGCTAAAATGACTTTTGTCTCATTGCAGTATTTCTTAGGTTCCTAAAATTGTTAAGTCGTGTCCAGTAACCTTCCGCGTTGATGAGGATAATGACGCCAAAAAAAAACGTCGATAAATATAATGCCTCGTTCGCAAATAATGCCGCCGATGCTTAGACTGTTTTACGACAGTCCTAAACTTTCGCGAGACTTGTTTTATTACGGATATTAATCTTCATATTTCGAAGATAATTTTTAGCAATTGTGCCGTTAAAAACGAACCCCTCGTCCGTCGTAGATTACCATAAATTAGTCCGCGCAAGCCATCAAAACGTTTGTCCACGCGAGAATGGAATATCGACGGTGAAACTACCAAACCACGTATCTCGTTTGCGGTGTTTAAAAATCTACGCTCACATTTTATTTTTTTGAAGTAGACCAAATCAATATCATTCTTTGAAATTTTCACAGAATTTTCTCCGCACGAAGAGGAAAAATCACAGAAATTTTCAAGACTGGATGTTGAGTAGTTTTTCATTTAAAAAATACAGTATGACAGGAAGTCTGCGACGTCGCAAACCGAGATACGTGGTTTGGTAGTTTCACCGTCGATATGTCCTTTAAGCAGGCGCCAACGCTGGCACTCTCCCTGTTACCTCGCAACCTTAAGTGTCATAAGTTAATGCCGTTCATCTTGTCTTCGGCTCTGTCATTTCAGTATTAAATTCGCCAAGTCATCGTAGCAGCGGTCACTTTGGCCGGTGACGCAAGCGAATTTCAACGGCCGTGAGAGAAGATAATCGGTGCATCTGCCGACTGTTGACGTTGACGTTGCATTTTATGCCTCTGCGTATGGGCCGTTATGCATCCCCGTATAAGGGCGTGAAAAGAACGTCAAATGATCAGAACAGCGTCATAATGGACTCAACTCTCTCTCTCTCTTCCTCTCTCTAAAGCTCTCATCTCAGGAATCAGGCACGAGTCCAACGAAATAAAAGTAGCCGCTTACACTTGGATCTTCACTGTAAAAAAATCCTAAAGGCCCAAAGGTTCTTCCGATGATTTTAAAAGAAGGGTATGAATAACTTTCGGACTTTCAGGAGATACTCTCCAGTTTCTAAATTACGGAGGTCTTCAGAAAATGTGTCAAAATCTTGCGCCATAAAGAAGTCAGCCAGGCCTGGAAAAAGTCAGATGAATAAGCAAGTTTTCAAATTTGTTTGTATAAACTTTTTGGTTAGATTTTGATCAATTATGTTCTTTTATTTAATCTTTTAACGTAGGTCCAATCTCGTTAAAAACCTTACAATTTTCTTAACATTAGTAAAATGAGGAATTTGCAGCTCCCTTCTGCGATACTTAATGACCATATGGCCACATGATATGTGTTCATGCGACTATGGTTTCTGACCCGCTATAATGACATCAATCTGCGTTCCCTCTCCAGCGAACATCTACGAATTTCGCATCTCGAAAACGGGGTAGGAATAAGGGAGAATTTATGTTAAAGAATGGAATGCGAAGACGCGTTCCATCCTAAATAGATTCCACGCCAATTAAGTTTCTCTACTTTCAGACCGTGACGGAAGAAACGTCATCTCAATTTTTCCATTTACTTTACATGTAAACGTGACGGCACGACGGATAAAGATTATTACAATCCCACGCATACTCCTGTCTGATTTTGGCGCCAGTTATAAGAGAAGCTACACCAGCCAAGGCACGGTTGAGTCGGCCGAAAGTGTAACTGGATCAACCCTACGTCTGTTTGGTCTACCTACCCTTATAAATGGCGCCGAAATCAGCCAGGAATATAGTCGAGATTGTGATTCTGTTTCTCAGGGCAGATGATCTTCTGTCGTAGTCCTGTGGGCTAATTTTTGAAATTTATGGACAAAGCTATAGACAAAGAAGACAAAAAGGATTTGGAGGACTCCCACTGGTGGAATCGGGTGGTTGCGATGGACGAAGTAGGTAGGTGATAGATTAACTAACGGTAACCGACATGAGACCCTTCAGTTAGTCCACCATATCCTCCCTCAGTCCACGAGAACCCCCCATTTCAACCATTAGGATTGCTCCGCACTCCCCATGTCTTCTTCGTCTATCAGTTTCAACAATCAGCCCGCACACTGAAATGGTATGCCGTTTTAGCACCTAGGATATCGAAAGTGTGTCTGGTGATTCTAAGATGCCGCCTTGATTGCCCGTGCAATTGGATTTGCATTTGCAGGATGTAAAGATAACTGCGGGGGCGGTAAAGTCAGCATCTTGGGATCACCAGAAACATTTTTGACTATCGGATGCTAAAGCAGCATATTATTCGGACTTCATTTTGCAATTTAGAACTTTAAATTCTAGCCCGGTTAAGAAACAACGTATGTGCCATTAGTTTCCCTATGCACATAAGTGTTTTTCCAAAAGTGAATTTATAGCTCCAAATTGCAAAACGCAGTCCATCTTTTTCAGTGCGTAAGCTTATTTGGCGCTGACTCTAAGCTCAACGAGTTCCTTCCGGTGTATAGATGGACTAGAAGTGCGAATCATCCGAGTGTGATTTTAATTCGGCGGATGCAGAAAGTCTTGGATTTCGGGGTGTTGTGCGGGGGCCTCGGGGTGTGATGTGAAGTGGCCCCTCGTTTGATGTCTGATGGGAGCAGGAGGCTGGTGGCGGTGGGGGCCTCGGGCTCGGGGCTGTTCCGCTCTCGCTCGCTCCCGCACCTCTTCGCCTCGGACTCGGGGGTCGGGGTCTCGGGCGTCGGGAGCTTCAGCGACGGGCACTCCGGGCACTCCCACTCCCACTCGGGCGGCGCCTCCGCCAAGCTCCCCGGCGGCCTCGTCGCCGAGCTCCGCCAGCTCCTCACCCTAAAGCAGCACTACTACCCGGAGGGCGGCTGGGGCTGGGTCGTCGTCGTCTGCGCCCTCTTCGTCCAGATCCTCGCGCACGGGCTCCACCTCGGCGTCGGCATGCTCGTCCTCGAGATCACGCACAGGTTCCGCCAGGAGGCCGTACAAGCAGGTAATCAAACACTCTTTTTCGTCTTAATACACGGAGAAAAAAACTCGTGCGTGGGACCCGAAGTTTAGGTCATATGGATCTCTGAAGTTATCGGATTGAGCATCTGAACACTTTAGGTCTAGCTGTCGAGGTTCGGATCACACATCTGAAACTTCAGTTCTTACATCTCAAGTACTTCAGATGTGAGAACCGAAGTTTTTCGGTTGTGAGAACCGAAGTTTTTCGGATGTGAAAACCGAAGTACTTCAGATGTAAGAACTGATGTTTCAGATGTGTGATCCAAACCTCAGCAGCTGGACTTTAAGTGTTCAGATGCTCAATCCGAAAACTTCAGAGATCCATATGACCTAAACTTCGGGTCCCCTGCACGAAGTTTTTTTCTCCGTGTAGTTGGACCGCGTCAAGCAGTAAGGAACCAAGCTACATCAGCTGCTGTGCATTTCAATTTGACACTTTAAGTTTTTCGAAGCCGTCCAGCGGGCCGATTATTGAAATTGATAGACAAAGCTTTGGACACAGGAAACAAGAGAGATATGGAGAGATCCTATTGGTGGAAGCGGGTCGTTGCGATGGACAAAGGAGGTAGGCAAGAGACGAACTAACGACAACCCACGAGAAACCCGACAGTTAGTCTATCATTTTCTCCCTTTGTCGATAGGAGCCACCCATTTCAACCAATATGATCGCTCCATACTCCCTATGTCTTCTTTGTCAATGGCTTTGTTCATCTATTTCAATAATCAGTCCGTAGGTTGGCCTCGCGGTCAGGGCGCCTGACTCTGGTCCAATAGGTCCCGGGTTCGAATATCGGTAGCGGCGAAAAAGTTTCAAGAACTCACGAGTGGATCCACCGAGACAGATTCCACTCGGCCTTAATCGCTGAAATTTTGAAAGCCTGGATCATGGATGTGTATGAACCTTAACTTGATGCTCATTTAAGTTGCAAAATCCTCAAATGGATTAGAAACGTCTAATAATTTTTTTAAAAAAAATTGTTCACATGCAATCGGTTTTACGGATTTTTTTGCGGATTTTAGTGAATTTGCTCTGTAGTGCGAAGTGAATTGTTTATAATTTTTGAAGGAATCCGCACAAACTCTCTCTTGTAAAATATTAAATTGCCTAATAAAATTTGGCAATAACTAATGTGGCTTGGTTCCTTCCTTCTAAATGGGGTCCAATTGCATCTTGAAAGATGCGGTCCAAATGTTTATACATATGTGATTTAGATCGGTTTCATCGTGCAGATATTGTTCAGTCCAGTGCGTTGAAGCACTCCTTGCGCATGACACTTGATTAATTCATGAGTATGGAATCGGATCTGACTGATCCAAGAAAACGTAAGAACTGTAATCTCATAATGACAAGCACCCCTTACTTACCCAGCGGCAGGGAAGATGTTCACCCCATCAGCGCTTTCATCTAGCAATGGATCCTGTAGGACTTTTACTAATGGCATATTCATAATCAATTACGCAGAGCCATATGGTGTACTGTTAAGTAACCCTGTCACAAAGTTCTCTTTAAACTCCCTATACTCGAAGAATTTTGTAAAAGCAACTGGTAGTTTCATCGTCATCTCGCATGTCCCCAATTCCGGGAAACGAAAAGCAGTATCCTCATGGTTGAACGTGATCTTTGGCTGTTGTGTGAAGCCTATTGCAGGCGGTGACTGTAATTCTATTACATGCTTCAAAATCGAGGCTGTAGTTGATTCGGCTTTCTTGTCGATCTGTAACGTAAAAGCTTCGAACATTACTGAGAACTAATAGGGGAGGGGGAGGAAGAAAAATCACCAATCCAACTGTACCATCTTATGCCAGGGTGCAGTATCTACATACATTGCAATGATGCAAACTCTGTACTCATTGGTGGTTATCAGCTTGGGTATTTTATACTGTAAAGTCGCTAACTTTTTTTTTTTTTTTTTTTTTTTTTTTTTTTTTTTTTTTTTTTTTTTTTTTTTTTTTTTGGCCAAAATAGCCAGTTAGGCTTGCCATGGTCAGGGAATTTTAAAAGATCAGGGAGCACCTGGAAACGTCAAGGAAAATGACGAAAGTGTCTGGGAAAATTATTAGGTCACCTTTATGGAATACCTGGGATACCTTATGAATTACTTGTAGTTTATTTTATGGGTTTGACAATTCGAAGCACTGATTTTGGATGGAAACCATTTCAAATTACATCTTTTAAATCGTCTGGCGTATCCATGATTGTCACGGAATTTTACCCAAATGTGTCAGGGAAATCAGGGAAACGCCACGGAATTTCATTTTCTAAATCGGAAACCATTTCAAATCGCATCTTTTAAATCGTTTGGCATTTCCATGATCGTCAGGGAATTTTTACCCAAACGTGTCAGGGAAATCAAGGAAACGCCACGGAATTTCATTTACTAAATCCTGTGACAGCCCTGGCGAAAGTGTATCGAACTTCAATAGCGCCAAATTCGTGACCGGCGAAAATTCGAAACGCATCGAACCACCGACCGGCTTCACTATGAGGCGAGTAAGGCGTTCTTGGCGACGCGCGACGCCGCGCCAGAATCACCAAATGGGTGCACGTTAAGCCCGCAGCTGCACGGGGTCCTTCCACGGCCGCGACCAGCGCAGCGCACAGTGGATCGAGTCTTTTGGAGAAGTCGGACAAAATTCGGAAATTTTAAATGCCTTTAACACTCGGTTTATTCAAATGTTTGAGATTTTAAAAGTGGTTCCATTAGTTTTTTCGTGAAATTTACTTTTAGGAGCACCCCTTAAAGTTTAAAATATGACGTAATAAACATCAAAATGTGCAGTTATAGTGAAACATTTCTTGATCGACTTCTCTGATTGACTCGATCCACCGTGCGGCGCGGCGCAACATTTAAATTTCAACGGGACCGTATACGCTCTTCGTCGGCGGGCCACGTTTTTTCGCGGTATGCGGTCGCTCCGAAATCAAATATTTTGCTCATGTTCCGTTCCGCCTATCTTGCGTGGGATCAGATTCATTAATATTTAGCAACCTGCCGGAGCCATTGTTTTCCCCGCCGCAGCGGTCGCGCGGCGCGGGTTACGGGCGCCAGCGAACGCGGATGACGGAAGGACTCGTCGCTGTGAGGATATTCTTTGACGGTTGGTTTCGCCGGAGCGGCCCTCTTTTCAAAAGAGGAAATCTGAGTCGTCCTAAGCGCCACCAGATGTTGCTTATGGTTGTGTTCATAGCCGTCCCCGAAACAGCCTCTTTCAGGGTTGCCATAGTCAGGGAAAACCAGGAAATGTCAGGGAATTTTTAAAAGTCAGGGAAAACTGGGAAATGTCAAATTTTCGAGAAAACACGCTTCTACATTTTTAAAGCGTACTTTAATATTTTCAAAAAAGATTTTTAATCTCAGTTTTTAAGAACCCGCTTTACGTAATTCTTTACGGTCTTGTTTCAGGAATTACTTCGTACATATGGGGATAGTTGGCAGTAAAAAAATCGGTTCTTTTACTGACTGCTTGAAAATACTCATCAGAGTGACTATATAGCCAAAAGGTTCTGGATCCTAAATGATCGTATTGCCGGGCTACCAAGAAAATATTTTCATTTTTTATCAGGAAAGGTATAGCCGTACTCAGGGATTTGAATGCTCCATACCTGTATAAAGAAAATAGAATAGGAAAATATGATACGAAAAAGCATGAATAGATGTTAGTCACACTTCATATTTTCTTGAATATATTCAATATCAAATTGTTGAATATGTAAAATTTTGATTGAATTGAATATGTTCCATAATTTCATTAAAAGGTAAGTCACCTTTTAATGTTCCATTAATGTACATTCTGAAATTTCGTTTGATAATGGATCATATCTGTAAGCGAATTTTAGAGACTTGTTCACTATTAAAAAGAACAATTCGAGAAGTATATCTTGGATTTAGGTGCCCACTGAAATTCCAAAAACTGAACTCCTCTTAATTGACAATTGACAAACATAGCGAAAAAATACGATGAAAATCGGCGCCAACAAACACCCCCGGCCTTGGTGCCTCAGCGAGGCGTCAAAATGAAAAATGCCAAGAACTTACAAACTAATACTAAAACTAAACTATTTGCTAGTGGCTGATAAGTGAACTCACTTGCGGTTGCAGAAGCGGTGGTTGAAAAATTGGTGCCAAATTCCGCCAATCACAGTGGATTCACAGTGGATTGTTTATTTGGGTACTTTTTATACGACGAACTACTCACATTTTTTCGTATGATAGTGGCGTCTTGCTGATTCGTTTTTCTGCTCTTTGTATTTTCTTTTGACTTCTTCGGCTTCGATCTCCAAGTTTATTTCATCGGCGTTCAGCTTCGTAAACGTGTCGCTGGGTACATACCGTCTCTGTAGGCCACGTTCCCCTCGTGATTGTGCTTTTACTTCCCTTGGTTTACTGGTTTTAGACCGAAAAATTTTCCACCACCAATTTCCGCAGAGCGGTATTAAAAGGTAGAAAAGGTAAAATAAAAATAAGATAAAATAATAAGTGGCTTTTGCGGTAAAATTTAGGATTTGGCATTGCCTCAATACGGGATGCCCACACGGTGCCTCGCAGCGACCCTGCACACCTCGCAGGTGCATTCTACTTGGGGGAGAGCGGGGGGCGGCAGCCTGAACCAGCCCCATTCGACTCACCGACGGTACCGCCGGGGAGGCGAATGGGGAGCCGTGATGGACCCGCCAGTCCCCCTCGCCGTCCGGAACGAGAAAAATCGGGACGAACCGTACGGACTGCGGGGGGGGGGGGGGGGC